AAGATGAGCTCAATGACAGCGTGCAAGGAATCACTCATATAACAAGGATAAACCTCAGTCAGGCAATTGGCAATGGGGACTCCAAGAACCTGGAGCCGTGAGCCACATCTACAGCAAAACAAGGGGGGATTTTCCCACACCAGGATATTACGTGGGTCCCAGCACACGTGCCGGGGCTGTGAAGAGGGATGCAACGCCAGCAGGCAGGACTCTCCGACTCCTCTAAATGCTTTTTGCTTCACTGACAGTGATTTGGCCCTTGCTTAATGCATTGCATGAATGTGAAATGAAGCAAGCCCGAGCTGTGGCCCCAGTTCAGTGTGAGGATGTTCTGGAAGCAGAGGGTCTGTAATGTCTGTTTTTACTGGAGGCGCACAAAAGTTTTTCCTAACACATAAAGTTTCCGTGGCCCTGAGGCTGTTCCTGGCCATGGCAAAATGTTGTCCTGTCCCCAACAGCCACCGCGACCCTCCCGTCGCTGCGCTCCTGCCAAAGCAATGAGGCTGACCCCGCTCTTGAGTTGTGCCCCTGCGTGATTTTGGGAGGGAGGATGGAGGCTGCAGGAAGGGTTCGTGGGGTGCTTGAGCTCTGCCACCACCCCCGTCCCCTCGCAGCATCCCTGCGTAGTGGGGACGTGCCCCCGGGGAGCCGGGGCTGAACAGCACCCTGCTGCGGGTGGGTGCTGCCCCTCGAGCTGCCTTACACCCCGCAGCCACGTCGCCCTGGATCTTCAAAGCACTTCACTGCCACGAATTAATTACAGGCTGTGCTGCAGCTGCCGCCAGCGCCGTTTATATAATCTCACGTTTCGCAGCTTTCCCTCTGCTTCTGATTTACAGGAGCCACTTGTTATCCCCAAACAATCCACGGGTGATGATCCTGGTGGTACCCAGCGCCTGGCAGAAACCCAGGCTGTGGGGCTGGCCTCATCCAGCCCACGGACAGCACTGCTGGCACCCCTGGCAGAGCGGTCTGGGGCACCAAGCAAAGCATCAAAACATCAAAACGCGGAGTGAGCAGAGGAAAATGAGTGGTAGAGCTGGGCATGAGAAGGGACCCCTTCCCTGCCACCGTGGGGCCCTGTACACCTCCCACCCAAGCTCCTTATCATGCAGATGTCGCAGTGGCCTCATGCCACAGCCATCCCCAGTATCCCCAGTGCTGCCCGTTGCCTCCCCCAGCCCTCGGTCGTGCCTACCTGAAAGCCTCAGGGCTGGTCCTCGGCTGGTCCTGCCCGACCACCGCTCCCCGTCCCCGCAGGATTAGGGGGACCCCAGCTCCCCCGTGCTTGGCGAGGGCTCGGTGCTCCCCTCCGCCGTGCCTGCCTTTTTGTTACCACCGCTCCAGTATTCGTGGGTTTTAAAAGCTAAAAAAAAAAAAAAAAAAAAAAATCAAAAAAAAAACAACCAAGAAGACTGTTTCCTGAGAGACCATTAGCACAGTGGAAGACGGAGATAATAATAGCCTGGGTTTGTATGGGAGTTTTCATCTGGCAGAGACATCAAGTACAGTGGGGGCTATAGACACACTGCTGAAACGGGGGGAGCACTGGGGATGGGCCCTGCTGGGTGCCATGGCTGGACCACCAGCACCCCGGGATGGAGGGTCCACCCAGAGCAGCCCCAGTGAAGGCTTCACTGCTGGCTCAGTCTTCAGAGAGCAAATATCAAGCCCAAAGGTGCTCCCGGAGCTGGCCCCTCGGTGCCAGCACTAACCCAGAGCTCGTCCCCAGTCTGTGACCACGGGGGGCGCGCAGGGTAAGGGGAATCCTTTTGCTCTTTATAGGAAAAACTGAATATGAAGGTCCTTGCAAGTATTTTCATTAGGCGCTGGGGTAGCTGGGTGGGCACGGCTGGGTGATGGAGCAACGGGGATGACAGTGGCTTCAGAGGCACCAGCAAACAGCTCTTAGGGGATGTTGCACAGCACCTGCCTTGCGGAGTTCTGCAAGCCCAGTCCCAGTGGGACCCAGAAAGGATCGGTGCTGTAAAGGATGTCCCTTTGCTTGGAACACCCGGCCCGGGAAGGTCACAGCTCTGCAGAGCCTGGAGAGCTGCGAGTGCCCCAGCTGGGCAGGGACACAAAATCCCTAATGACTGCCAACCCCCCCGTGCTGCTCTTGGAAACACAGAAGCCATAAACATCAGTAAGACTCCCTGCTGGACCCAGGCTCCAAATTTCCATTCCTTGCTCTCTGCTCTGGTTCAGATTGAAGGCTGGGACTTGACCTGGCACAGGGACAAGCTGTGGCCTGGATCGGGCTGGTGTCTTTGAGCATCTCTCCCCAAAATGCTCCCTTTATGTGCCTGAGGCAGCAGGAGCCCCCACGGCTCAGCACGGCAGGGTGCTAGCTCACCCCAGGGTGCAATACCTACACACCACCTGGAAAGAGAAACTTTCCCTACGCCAGCATCTACCCCATCAGTGCCCTGAGCCGCTCACTCCCAGGTGGGCACTGCCTTTGCTGTAAAATCAAGGAGAGTTAATTGAAAAATGAATTTCCAGCAGCTCTCTCCAGTTAATTAGAGGTGCCGGTGGCTGGGGCGGAGGGCTGGCGCTGCTGGCGGGGATGGTGGCACGGCTCTGCCTGGGCGCAGAGGCTTTCATCACCCAGCCAAACGAGCTGGAAATCCCTCACCTAATTATCTCCGCAATATACAGCTACAGAAACCAAATTGCTGCGGTTATTAGCGCTTTAACTGGAGAGCTCTCTGCATTATCCTGTGATTAAGGAGTGCGGGGCTTTGAAGAAAGTCACACTGCAACCTCAAGATGTAACTGGGCAATGGGAGATGCCGGCTCCGTCTTCTGCTCCTGCTTCCACATCACGTCGCTCCTCCTCGGGGGCTTTACTGGGGGATACTGGAGCGGATTTCATGCTGCTGGAGGAGCGAGGAGCTGGGCAGGCTTTGGCATCACGTGGCTCCAGGGTGGCTGTGCCTGCTGGGGTGCTCAGAGTGAGCCTCAGCACCCAGCCTGGTCACCCCGTGACCTGCTCCCAACCCCTCCTCACCCCCCAGGGCTGTCCCAGCCTTGAGCTCAGCCCTGCCTTTGCTATGGACTTTGCTCTGTCCCCATCCTCTGCCCGTCTTCCCGAGACCTTCGCATCCCTCACAGGAGAGCTCTCAGCCCTGGCGTCACCCGGACGCAGCCCTGGGGAAGGACCCAGCCGGTTCACCCATCTCTTTCATTAGCACAGGCTAATTAAGACTTCACCATCTAAATTCTGGTTAGCAGCCAGCATCCGGGTGGGCGATGCTGCTGAGACACAGGGGCCCAGTGACTGCGGGGGCTCCTTCCACTGCACCCCAAAGGTGTCCATGGCCTATTTGGAGTCTATTTGGAGCCTTTCCTGACACCCCGCTTGCCTGATCTTAGGGGATCATAAGGGAGGTGCTTTCAGAAGACCACGTCACCTGTTCCCCCGCGCGGTGACACGGCACGTCCTCGGCTCCCCGCCGTCCCACGGTGCTGCAAACGAGAGCCCCTTCCTCCCCCTGCCCGGGTGCCTGCCACGAATCATCAATCCCTGGGGCTGGAGGGGGGAGCTCAGTCTGCCCGAGATGAAAGCCTGACCTAATTCAAACCGGCGGCATCCAGCGGGCAGGAGCATCGCCAGCGCCGGCCCCACGCGGGGGGTTTCCACGCCGGGTGCAGCCCCGGGGGGAGCTCCTGGCTGATGGCCACGGCTGTTGGCATTTTAGGGAGCAGGGCCCCATCCACGGGCTTTGCTGTGGGCTGCAGGGCTGGGGCAGCAGGGTTGGCTCCTCGGGACAGTCCCCGGCTTCTGTCCGAAGGGCATTTTTGTTCTGGTATCAAGGAAGGTGGAATTTCCATGAAAGCCCACTGGATGAGGCCTCATCCAAGGGTCTTCAGATAAAACTAGGGAAGAATCGAGTTGTGCTGCCTGTTTTTTTAGAGGGCAAAGGAAGCTGCGTGCAGCTCATCCCCTCCCGGAGCCTGCCAACGAGCTGGCTGCCTGCAGTTCACCTTCAAAGCCCTTACCTTGCCGCACGCCAGCCCGCTGCCTCCTCCTTCTCTGGGACCCCCATACCCCCCTGCACCCCACGAAGGGACACAGCTCAGACCCCGCATTGCCCCCCCCCCCCCCCCCCCCCCCCCCCGTGCTGGCCTCCGTGGGGAGGGTCCCCAGGGGTGACCCCTGGCTCTGCGTTCCTGGGCTGGTGGGATGGGTGGTCCCCGCTGAGCCTGTGCCTGCACCCCAACCCCTGGGACCCTGGGGTGTGTGTGTGGGGGGGGGGGGGGGAGCCCCCAGTTTGTCCCAAGAGTTGCCCAACCTCCATCACCCACCGTGGGCAGCGCTGCCTGTACCTGGGCCAGGTCCCGGTGCGCCGGGGGAGGATCGGTCCTGGTGCCGGAGAAGGACAAGCAGTCCCGGTGCCACCGGAGAGACGGACTGGTCCCAGCGGGGGGAGAGAACCGGTATTGGTGCCAGGGGGGAGGATGACAGGAGGGTCAGTCCCGGTGCTGGGGGAGGAGCGGACCCTGTGCTGGGGAAGAAGAGCCGGTCCCGGTGCTAGGATCCGAGGGCTGGTGCCGGTGCCGGGGGGTGAAAAGCCGGTGCTGGAGGCGGAGGGTCCGTCCTGGTCGCGGTGCCGGGGGTGGGTGCCCGGTGCCGGAGCTCCCCCCGCTCCCCCCGGCGCTGCCGGAGCATCCGCGGAGCATCCGCAGCACCGTGCCGGGTCCCCGCTCCGCTCCGCCCCGCGCCCCCCGCCCCCCCGCCCGCCCGCAGCCCGGCGGGGCCGCCCCCCCACCGCCCCCTCCTCCCCCGGGAGGGGGGGGGCTGGATTTCGCGGGGGCTGCGGGGCCTGGGACAGGATTTCCCACGCGTGAAGAAGAGCGGTACCCACCCCCCCCCTCCGGTTACCGGGACTCTCCCCCCCACCCCCCGCGGGGATCGGGACCCCCCCCCCCGGTACCGCCTGCGCCGCAGCGCCCCCTGTCGGCCCCGGGGCGGGGCCGGGGGCGGGGCCGGGGGCGGGGCCAGGCGGAGCGGAACCGGGCCGGTGCGGCGGGAGCAGCCATGTCGTTCTGCTCCTTCCTCGGGGGCGAGGTGTTCAAGGACCATTTCCAGCCGGGTGAGCAGGGCCGGGGGGGGTGTGGGTGTGTGTGCGTGTTTTTTTGTTTTTTTGTTTTTTTTTTTTTTTTTTTCCGTGGGGTCTGTAGGTTCCCTGGGGGTTCGTCGTGTCCTCCCCATCCCCCCCGTCCCCCCACCCGTGGGGCGGGCAGCGAGTGTCCCCCAAAAAGGCTGGATTCCCCGGGGTGAGTGTCCTTCCTGTGGGGCATCCTCCACCCGTGGGGACCGGGCTGGGGGTCCCCTCTCTGGGGTCCTTGTTGGAGGGGGGGGGTACCCCCGGTTTGGGTGAGGAGATCCTGCCTACAAAGTTGGGGGGGGGGGGGGAGAATCCCTTGGGGGGGATCCTGCCCTGCGGGGCTGCACCCAGAGGAACCCTTATAGGGGATGTGGGTCCAGCCCCATGTCCCAAAAACTCCCACTCGCCTGCCTGGCCGGGGGGGGGGGGGGCCGGGTCTGGCAGTGGCCCACACGGGCAAAGTCCAACACGGGTGGGTGTCCCGTGTCACCCTGCTGATGTGTCCCCACCGCTGCCCCCCCCCCCGCTTTCCCGCCTCCCAGTTCCCCAGCAATCGCTGCTGGGAGCCAGCAGGGCCGGGGGGGCTGCCCCCCCCCCCCCCAACCCCCAGCACTGACCCCTCTCCTGCCGCCCTCCCCAGGCATCTACGTCTGTGCCCAGTGCGGCCACGAGCTCTTCTCCAGCCGTGCGAAGTACGAGCACTCGTCCCCGTGGCCAGCCTTCACCGACACCATCCACGAGGACAGCGTGGCCAAGCGCAAGGAGCGGTCAGGGGCTTTAAAGGTGCCGATTCTGAAATTTTGGGGGGGCGTAGCGAAGCCCCCGGGCTTTTTCAGCGTGAGCCTGCCCGCTGAGAAAGGCCGTCAAACCCTCTCCTTGCATTTCTAGGTGTCTTGTGGCAAGTGTGGCAATGGGCTCGGCCACGAATTCCTCAACGACGGGCCGAAGAGGGGGCAGTCCCGCTTCTGAATATTCAGCAGCTCGTTGAAGTTCATCCCAAAAGGTAACGGCCGCGGCTCGGCAGCTGTTTTGGCTCTCGTAGTTATTTCTGGGGAAGCTGCTGATAGCCCGGCCACGCTGTGCGCGATGCGCTGGTTTCAGCAGGGCGTAGCTGGCCCTTCAGATAAGCCGAGTTGCCACTTACGCCCTAAATAAATCTCACATGCATCAGCCTGAGATTTGGGGAGCTTTGAATATTGCAGCTGCCCTATGGGCAGGGGAGTGGGTCCGTGGGGAAGGGCAGGGCTTCTTGCCGTTGTGGTTATCGTGCTGTTTGCTTCCCACGAGTCAGAAAAAGGGTTTGGGAGGCCAAGTTCAGGGCTGTACCCTCAACCACGACTTGCTGTCCTGCTTGTCGGGCTGTGGTGGTTTCAAGATGTTAGCTGCACGTAGCAAAATAACCATATAAAAGGGGCTGGGGGTTCTGGAGCAAGATACACAAGCCCTGATTCTTCCTCTTCCTCTTTTAGGCAAAGCAGACGAAGACCTGAAGCAGAAGTAAGCGAGCTGCTCTACTGGACACACTGTTCTTGGACTGATCCTGCGTTCACACCTCGGGCTGCACCGTCTGGTCAAGGGGGCACCAGGAGCAAGAGAAACCCTGAAGAAGCTCCTGGTTTCCCCGGGCCGGTTCCCTCTTGGGGCTGCTCTGACTCGGGGCGCCAGGAGGAGCGCGGGGGGTGGCGAGGGGAAAATGGGGTTGCTGAAGCTCTGTGCTTGCTGGGTGACAGGTTGTATGACCTGTGCCTGAGGGTGTTTCACATGAAGGGATGACGCAAAGGCTCCAGCTCCTCATTTTACCCACCCTTACCCTCTCCCCAACTGCCTCTTCTCCCCGGCATCCTCGTTCTGCCGGTAGCAGCCACTGCTGAGTCCTTTGGGTTTTGTCCATAGAGCAGCCCGTGTGCCCGCGGTCCTGCCCCTGCTGAGCTCGGTTTTGCTGTCGGCTGAAGCTGAGCCAGGACACTCTCCAGATCACAGCCAGGAGGGGCCGGTTCTGCCGTGGCACTGATGCAATCCAGAGTCGCTCCGCTGGCATTTCCAGGGAGTAACGTAGGATTAGTTGAGGTCAGAGTCTGGGTTAATCCCTGGTGCTATTCTGGGCTGGGATCATGGTATGAATTGCCCTATATAAACCCTTCCAGGGCGCTAGGGTAAGGATGATTTTATGATCCTGCTAGACAGCATCCACATATTTTAACCCTCTACCCATCTTGCACACAGTAGAGACAGTTCTGGATTTCCCATGTCCTCTGGGCTTGGTTTTAACTTGGCCTTACACCAGATTTATCACTGTGCTATAAACTCCAGTGGCACTAACGGTTCTTCCTTGCTCCTCACTGGTGCAAGGGAGGCCAGCATCGGGCTCATGGGCTGCACTTTGCACAACTCAGGCTTTAGGAATCGTATCTGCGTTCCCTCTGTGCTTGGAAGGGCTGTGACACTGATTTCTCCTTAATTCAGGATCTGATTTGTGGCCTTCCCTCCTTGTCCCAGAAACCAAATCCTCTTTGAAATCAATATACAAGGATTTTTTTTTGAAGATGGCAAAACCTTTTGCTGACCCGTGGGTCCAGTGTTCCAGCTCATTACCTGGAGCTCACTGCTGGTCTTGTACTTCTTTCAATACTGAAAATAAAGCACTGATTCACTGTGTTGGAGAAATAACATTTTTTTAAAAGCACTGGTGATGGCACCCTGGTGCATCTGCCCTAGGATTCCTTCTGTGCTTGTTTTGCCCAGTTTTGGAGGGAAGGTTGGGGAGGCCACGCCGGTGGTGGGATGTGTGTGAGGCAAGTACAAATGCAGGTACAAATACAGGGCAGGTTTTTGTGCCTCCAAAGCCCTGGCCAGAATGCTGGGAGCAGATTTCATCTGAGGTCTGTCTTCAGCCACAGACCCACATCCCCGTGCGCGGACACATCGTGTCTTGCATCCAGCGTGGTCTCACAACCCAAAGGCTTGGCCTGAGGTTGGTGTGTGTGGATTCATTCTGTATTTGTTACTGGTATCCCAGGTTTTGGCATGTGGAAGGGGGGATACTGATCCACTGGAGGCCTTTGGGCCTTTTGGGGTTGAAACTTTAATTGGGGAAGTTTTCCTTTTCACTCCAATTAGTATTTTTGCTCGACTGAGGCTGGTTTTAGCTTGTTTCATAGTGTGTTTTTGGTACCTTGTGGGCTGAGGCTGGTTTTAGCTTGTTTCATAGTGTGTTCAGGGTACCTTGTGGGCTGGCAGGATTTTGTGAGCAGAAGGGATCTGAGCTTTAGCAGGGTCTCACGACAGTTTTCCTGCATGAAGCTGCCTGCAAGACTGGAAGCTACAACCCGTCTCTGCCTCCCAGAGGTCTCTTCGCCCCAGCAGAGTTGGATACCGGGTTCATGGAGGCTGAAGACTTGAGCTGGGCTTTGCTGGGCTCCAGTTCCCTTCTCCGAGGGGGTAAAGTCTGTTCTGGAGCACAGGAGCCAGGGCCACATCTCCCTCCTTCCCGTGGCATCGCCCTCGCCACCTTCCCCGTGCGCAGGATGACGTCTGGCTCTAATTACTAATCAGGTTCTGGGCTGAAGGTTCAAGCTGCTTTTCGGTCGATTAATCCCCTGCTCTGCTGCTTTGCCCCTGGTTTGGTCGTGAGCCCGGGAGGGCAGGAGCTGCCCCTTCGCTTCCCTCCCCGGAGCACCACCTTCCACCCCTGGGACGCCTCCTGCCCCTCGCCGGGCGCTGGGAAGGAAGGCATTTTTGGGGTGGTTTCCCCCGAGATAGGAAACGTCCTCGGGGAGTGCCAGTGGTGAGAGGAGGGCGGCGATTCCTCCCACTCGTGGGCTGGCTGACGCCGTGTGCCACGGGGGGGAACCCAGCCACGCTTCCAGGCTGCCTTGCAGTTCGTGGACGCAGGCACGGGAGGGTGCAAGTGCTTTTTCTAATCCTTCCCCGGGTGCTGCGGGGAGGGAAAGATGCTGCCGGGGTGGGCGCAGGGTGCGCAGGATCCAGCCCTGCAGCAACGGGAAGGTAAATTACCCCGAGCCAAAAAACCCCCTCAGGATGATTTAAATAGGGATGGGACATTTTTCCTGGAAATCTGGCCAGAGCTGGGGTTTTGGCAGAGATTTTAAAGACCTGAGGCTGGAGGGCTGGTGCTGAGGGTGCAGGATGTGACTCTACAGGGGCAGATCCTGTCTCTCTCCCCCCTTCCCAGCTCGGAGGAGCACCCCCAGCCATCCCGGGCACCATGGGGTCCCTCGTCCTTCCCCGGACCGCTGCGGGCGCTCGGGGTGGGAGGAAAGTGGCTCTGTGGCACCGGGCATCCCCATCGCTGCCGCTGGGCTCGGCCAGACCTTCCCCTCTGCCAGTCATCCTCATTTTATTATTACGCTAATGACAATTGTGGCTTAGTATGAGGATTTTGCTTAGTTGGGCAAAAGCGGCCCCAGATCAGTGACACAAGTTTAATGGCAGAAATTGAATTACGTTACCAGGCCGACGCAAACTTCCCTGGTTGTTTAAAAAATCATTAATTTCCTCCTCCATAACCTCCAGCTGACCTCCCTTTTTAATTTTTTAAATTTTTTTATTCACATGCCATGCAGAGGACCTGCCTCTGACCCTCCTCGGGATGGCTCCAGCAGACAGCAAAGCGGCCAGAGCACAGCGAGATTTAGATTAATTCTCCTAATAAAGATGACAAGCCCTATAGAAATTACGTTACGCAAGGAAAAAGAAAATGACCCGGAGGCATTAGGGAGCTCTAATTACCATTATTGCTTGGAGCCAGCGCTGCGGGAGGAGCGAGCCAGCTGGCCAGGCAGCTCTGCCTGCACCCGACTGCTTTTACCTGAAATTTTCACTCGTATTTCAAGTGGGCTTCCTGGCCTCGCGGGGATGGCTCTTTCTTTTTTATTTGTGTTGGTTTATTTAATTTTACCCTTTGATCAACTGTTTTTCCTACTCCAGCTGGGCCCACGGGCTCTCCCGTGCCAGCAGATGCCTGGGCACGGTGGCTCACCGAGGGCAGGAGGCTGCATCTGGCTGTAAACATGCACCGAGACCCCAAAGGAGAACTTTGGGGGTTTTACACATTGGGGCATCCCTCGGGGCGGGGAACACAGCCTGATTTGGGGTGTTCTTGCAGTCTGGTCCCACCAAACGGGCGCTTTCGACCCCAGACACGACCCTGAGCTGTGCCAGGATCCCAAACTGGTGATGGGCTCTGAAGCATCAGTTTGCTTAAAAGGGATTATTTGAATTCCTTTTGGGGCACTGAGCTGTTTTTTGCCAATTACAGAAAATAAACTGATGGTAATTAACACATCACTACGTACTCCTGATTTCCCCGAGATGTGGGGGGCTGTCAAGGGGCGAGGTGCCTCCCCATCACCCCACTTGCCCGCTCCATCCCAGGGAGCATACCTGTCCCTCAGCACATCCAGCAACAGCTGGGGAAAATTAAAGGCTTATTCCACTTCATTCACCAGTAATAACTTCATCTCTCCCTATGAGACACCGCTAGCCGGGCAATCGCTGACCTTGTTCCCGAGGTTTGTTTAATCCGGCTGAACCTCCTGGACCCACGAGGTGGGGAAATTTGCTTTTGCTTTGTGGTGTACGTTAATTAGGGAGATAATGACTGGAGACATTCAGAGCAAGTCTGAGCCTGCTGGAAAAATGTTTAGCCCAAGGAAAATTTTCTTTTTTTTTTTTATTTTTTATTTATTTCCTGGCAGTTGAGATCTGACTTTTTAAGGCAATTAGTGAGGGTTTATTTGTTAATCAGTCATACTTAGAGACTTGCTTTGGGGTCTTATCTCATGTTCCCAAGTGCACATTGCTTCTAATCATGATCTTCATTTCTGATGTAGGAGATACCCGTCGGGAGCTGGCTGTGCCGGGACGTGGCATGGGCTGACGGCGGTGCTGCCCTTCCCCTGCCCGAAGAGCCGTGCCCACAGCAGGCTCCATCCTCAGCCCAAACACATCCCAGATTTTTGGGGGAGTGAATTCCCTGCACGGGTCTCCCAGAGTCTGCCCAGAGTGGGACTAATCACCCCCACCCGAAACCCCATTCCACACCGTGGGTGCAGAGCTGGTGCCAACCTCCGAAACGGCATGGGGATGCTCACAGCACTCCTGCCCCCCCCCCACCCCGAGCCCCAGTGGGGACCTGGACGAACCGTTCCCCAAAACACATCACCCCCATGGCCCTGGGGAAAGGTCCGACCAGGGAAAGCTGCTCTGGGCTGTGCCAACATGGGTCCAGCCCTGCCCCAGCACCGGTCCAGCACCGTGGCCACTCCCCGTGGCCACCCCGATGGGCCACGACCCGAAAACCCACCGGTGGTGCCGGGCGATGCCCGGCCGGAGCTCTCCTCCCTGCGATCCTCATGGCACGTGCTTTTAAGCGATACACTTTACTGTCTACAACAATGATTTGTTGCTTGTAAAACCACTGTGATTAACTACAGTTTAGCCTCCTGGTTTCATGTCTTATCATGTTTCATCTCACACAAAAGACATTTACAGTCTATTTTCAACTTCAAAGCAAATGCTTCTTGCGTGAGCATTAAGGAAGGCAAATATTTTAGCAGAACCTGTATGGTATTAGTGTCTCTTGATGTTCCCTGCTGAGTGAGGATTGATGGCTGCCTCAAAAGGCAGGTTTTTCCTATTGTTTTATGCACCAGTGATTAATATTTCATGTTCCCACTGTTATATATTTACTGGCTGGCACTGGCCTACCCTGACAGTGCTGTCTTCATGTCTTACATGTCCAGCTTTTATGCACTTCAGTATAGGAAGTGTGACTCTTGGCAGGGTCCTTTGGTCTTATTGAAGCCTCCTGCCTGAGTTGTTTGAATTAAGTACATCTTGATGGCGTTAGGGCCAATGGCACGTTCTCCTTCACTGCTGAGACCTCTGTCCTGCCTGTCCACGGTGCTCTGCCCCAACTTTCAGGTGGGTGCTGCAGGCTGAGCCCCTCTGTACCCAGCCGTGCACCCACCTGGATGGGGACAGTGAGGATGGCACCGAGGGGACCGAGTCCTGCAGCAGTGAGAGGGTGAGGCTGGATCCTGCCCTACAGCAGCCCTGCAGGGATGGGGGGGGATATGGACCGGGGTGAGAAGCTGCTCCCACCCCTGGAACCCCCCTTTGCTCAGTCCCTACGCGGCACCGGCATCGCCCCAGCCTGTCTCGCTGGAGTTTCTGCTCCCCAGTGCCGGAGGGAGAAATGCAACGTTTGCGCTGGACTCCCCAGCACTTCCGCACCGCAACCCCCGAATAAACCCCCCCGAGTTCCCCAGCCAGCTTTGTCAGGACAAAATGAAAATAGCCCAGGACCAAATTCCTCTGCTTTGAACAGGATAACACACTGGCGTGCATTTGTCTGAACGCTAAACATATTAAGACCAGGAACTGTAAGGGACGGCTCTGCTTATCATCCAGCTTGGAGTTAATATAATTCAATTAGCATGAACAGTAAATATAGCTCGTTTTAATTTAGATGGAGGGGTTGCTGTGGCTCGATCCTTTCATTTCAGGAGTAGGGAAGCTACGGGAGGACTGCCAAGAATTTCTACAAACCCCACATTTTCTCCGGGGCCATCGGCTCTCGCTCCGAGTGCCCCTCAGAGGCCACCTCCGAGGAGCCCGCGCGCTTGGCGAGC